TATATCCTTATTGTAAGAGACATCAACAGAGGCCACATACTCCTTTATACATCCCATACTTGGTACATTTGATTTCTCCTTATTGTAAGATACATCAACAGAGGCCACATACTCCACATGCTTACTTATTTATTTAAATACTAATATATTTGTTTGTAAGAGTAAGTTGGTTTAAGAAACATAGTTTAAAGTCTTTAAGAAGAACGTTGTGTTGCTCTTGTTTTAATAATATGATTGGTTTGTCTTTCTAGATACAAGGCATGAATTTCCAGAAGTTTGTCATTCTAATTGCCCTCTATGGGTTAGTTGTATTTTCTGGGGAAGTCTTGGGTAAGATTGGAAAAGATTACTATAAACTGCTGGGCATTAAACCAAAGGCCACGGACCGAGAAATCAAGCGAGCTTTCAGAAAACTAGCAGTCAAGTATCATCCAGATAAGAATAAAGAGAAAGATGCAGAGGAAAAATTTCGAGAAATTGCTCAAGGTAAGTAATGTATTCCTAGTTTATAGTTGTACAGTCCTGTACCACTGTGCAGGGGCACCTCCACCAGAAGGACACAAGCAGTACTGTATCTTCCTAAATAAAACCTGTAACTTAAAATATAAACTTCATAATACCAGGAGTCTGTTTACCGTAGAGGAAGTACTGGATACACTTATCGTTTAAGCTGCTCTGATACGTGTTTATGTTGATTGTTTGTTTACTTACTGTAAGTCAGGTCAGTTGCTTGAGGTTCATATCCTTTTGTTTTTCATATTGCTGAGAATACGTGTTTAATTGTTATTACAGTTGGGCCTTTTGTTAAAATGATCCTAATATGGGATGTCTTACAAATTTCTATATGGTTAAAATGGGCAGAAAGTGTAATAAGCAACACACGCACTTGGGTTGGTGTTATCCCTTCGCTTGTGTCTATTACACCGAGTAAAGTTTGGGTTGGTGTTATCCCTTCGCTTGTGTCTATTACACCGAGTAAAGTTTGGGTTGGTGTTATCCCTTCGCTTGTGTCTATTACACCGAGTAAAGTTTGGGTTGGTGTTATCCCTTCGCTTGTGTCTATTACACCGAGTAAAGTTTGGGTTGGTGTTATCCCTTCGCTTGTGTCTATTACACCGAGTAAAGTTTGGGTTGGTGTTATCCCTTCGCTTGTGTCTATTACACCGAGTAAAGTTT